ATCTAGCATGAATAATTTCTTATATTGGAAACAAACACTCCTAAGGCTTCTGAGAAGTAGCTTTGGAAAGAATAGAAGAAATTGCATTATAAAATAAAATGGTTAAGGAATCATCACCAAGATTTGTATAAGTATATTCAAGTCGAACTTTTTAGTATTTATTTTTGTGGCGAACGAAATTTAGTTTTTATAGTTAGTTAAATTGTTGATCGCGCCATGTCATGTATTTTTTTGTTTATATGTGCTGGTGCGTCTCAAACTCTCAACTATTGTAAGTAGTTCAAGGCAATAAGTCCCTATACTTAAGATTATACAACATTGTGTAATAATTATCTCATATTCACATTATGTATTGCATGGAATTTTACTAAACTGTTTATCAAGTTATTGTTTAAATGATGTAGTTAAATTTTCTTTATGTTTTGATTCAATATCATGGATACCAACAAAAATGATGACCAATAATTAGTACTCACAACAACCCAATTTTCATAAGTTTGTGATAAAAGTTTGGCGAAAGGTTTTTAACATCGAACTTATACACTGCATGACTCGTGCTTTCTGTCAGCAACTTTGCATTTATTTTTAGACAAAAACAACAAAACAGCAGACATAGCAATTATTGCACTTATGTTTTAAATAAAGACTTTTAAGAAAATGACAAACCATGCATGCAAACGCATTTATAAACCTGAAGTGACACGTCAACATCGACAATCCAACTCGTATACTAAATTATTTTCTCTTGGAAAGTTCTGCATTCATTTGTTAAAGACTTTGAGTAAAAACCCCTGGGTTTGAAGCTGAATTCATGTTGCTTTTAATTAGCTTATTTATTACATTTATTTAAAAGTGCAATTACATGACATTTTGACAACAACTACAATGGCATTACAGCAATTTGCATAAAAGAAAATTTACGCTGATTGGTTGATGATAATATATCATGAGATTATGTTCTCATTATTCGTGGGCTGACATTATAACACTATTTACAACTGTATCCTTATTTCATTATATAGACATGTCATTAGACACACACTTTAAATTACACTTACACATCACATAAGAGCATATCTTAACAAAAACTTACCTGGCAGCTTCAAAAATTTAATCAGGAAGATCAAATAAAACTTACATAAGAGTTTTATCACAAAAAAATAACGAGTAGCACAGTATCTATTGATGGTCAAACAATATTTAAATTGTACAGTTTAAATGTATTTTAAAGTTTAAGTTAAAGTTCATGCATAGAAAAATCACACCTCACTCTTAGAGAAATCTCTCAATAATATTTTGTAGTATGAACATTAAATTTTTACAAGCTTGGTGATTTTTGTCAGCAACATTGTATGGAGTTTTAGATAAAATTAACATAACAGCGGAAATAAACAACAAGGTACTGCGACATTTTATATAAAGACTTTTATCAAAATGCAAAGGACTTGCGAAAAGCAATTATGATTCGTCATATTTGTGATTGTATTATCACTAAGTGAGTCGTCAACGTAGACAATTCAACAAAATATTTACTAATTTTAAAATTGTAGCAAAATCAAAAATCCTGAAGGTTACTAGTGTAATAAATTGTACATGAAAAATTGCTTGTCTTGCACAGAAAAAGATTGAGTAGAAGTAGAACCTGCATAAGCACGCTAACGGCACGTTATTATATATGAACAAATGCCAGATTGTTGTACTGCTTTAGATTTGACCTTCGGCAGTTGCATTTTCACATCTACATATTTGAGCATTACAGAACGACCTTTACATCAAATAATCGTTGTTTTGCATCATGACTATACACGTATACACGATATCAAGATATGAATAACAATATGTTCTCTCCCATTTATCACCAGGAGGCAATAGTGAATAGGAACAAGTCAATAATTAATAAAATAAAATAAAGACTTTTATCAAAATGCGAAAGACTTGTGAAAAGCAATTATGATCACTAAGTGATTCGTCCACATAGACAATTCAACAAGATATTTACTAATTTTAGCATTATAGAAAAATCAAAAATCGCCAAGGTTACTAGTGTAATAAATTGTTTATGAAAAATTGCTTGTTTTGCACAGAAAAAGATTGAGTAGAAGTAGAACCTGCATAAGCAGGCTAACGGGACGTTATTATATATGAACAAATGCCAGATTGTTGTACTGCTTTAGATTTGATCTTCGGCAGTTGCATTTTCACATCCACATTTTTGAGCATTACAGAACGACCTTTACATCAAATAATCGTTGTTTTGCATCTTGACTATACACGTATACACGATATCAAGATATGTATAACAATATGCCATCTCCAATTTATCAACAGGAGGCAATAGTGAATACGAACACGTTAATGATAAATAAAATAAAATAAAGACTTTTATCAAAATGCGAAAGACTTGTGAAAAGCAGTTATGATCACTAAGTGATTCATCCACATAGACAATTCAACAAGATATTTACTAATTTTAGCATTATAGAAAAATCGAAAATTCCCAATGTTAATAGTGTAATAAATCATACATGAAAAATTGCTTATCTTACACAGAAAAAGATTGAGTAGAAGTAGAACCTGCATAAGCACGCTAACGGGACGTTATTATCTATGAACAAATGCCAGATTGTTGTACTGCTTTAGATTTGATCTTCGGCAGTTGCATTTTCACATCCACATATTTGAGCATTAGAGAACGACCTTTACATCAAATAATCGTTGTTTTGCATCTTGACTATACACGTATACACGATATCAAGATATGTTTAACAATATGCCCTCTCCAATTTATCAACAGGAGGCAATAGTGAATACGAACACGTCAATGATAAATAAAATAAAATAAAGACTTTTATCGAAATGGTAAGTACTTGCGAATAGCAATTATGATCACTAAGCGATTCGTCCACGTAGAAAAGTCAACAAAATATTGATAACTCTACTAATTTCTAACTACTAATTATAAACACTATTAACTTTAGCATTGAAAAAATTAAATATCCCCAAAATTGCTTATCTTGCACAGAAAAAAGTTGAGTTAGGTTTTTTTAGTGAGTAGAAATCGAAACTTGCTTAAACAGGCTAACGGGACATAATTATATGTCAACAAGTGCAAGATTGTTGTACTTTTAGAATTGATATTCGGCATATGTATTTGCACATCTACATATGTGAACATGACAAAACACTTTTTACTGTCAATTAACTACAAAAATGGCAACAAAATAAGCGTCATTTTGCATCATGGTTATACATATATACACGATATCAAGATATGTATAACAATACGTGCTCTCCTATATATCGCCAGGAAGCAATAGTGAATAGAAACAAGACACACGGCTTATATATATGTTGATATGTATTCATTTGTATTTAGTTAAAGCAATGTAATGAAAAATTTCAGCGAATTTTATGCAGTAGGTTGAGCAAAATACAAGTTTTTCAGCTAAGTGAGAAGCTTCTAGAATGAGTTGTATTTGTGAAGTATGTACGTCATAATGTCTTGTTATCATCTCACTAGAGTTGTGGAATACAGTTTTTATTGGGATCACTTTAAAGCTCTTTGTACAGGACATCACAATGAAGTATTTGATTCAAGTGTTTAAGCAAAAAGTGTTTTAGCTATTGAATATGATATTGTTAGTTGGTGTTATGTTAAGCAAAGAAAACTAGTTAGTAGCAAAGATGTCATTCTTGACTTTCAACAGCTCCGTTGAGATATACCGTCAATAGATTTTAAACAATTATATTAATGTTGCATGCCCACTTCAGTTGGTACAAACAACAAAACAGGTAAATTATGCTTTTGTATCAGACTACCACATGGCTGAATTGCACGTCAAGAATTAACTCACAATAAACGTAGTTACAGGCAATAAATTAATTGAAATGTTACACAATTTTCTAAATGATTTTGATTGCTGCATGGTGAATTCCAAGTAGGGAAACGTTTGCCTTATTCATCCAGCATTATTTGTAAACTCTCTTTCTCAAAAACCATTTTAACTCAAGTGTTATATGATGACTGAATTCAGATAGGCATTGATAATGCAAACGGCGTAAGCTATAGGCATACTTTACATAGCGTGAAGTCCAAAATAAACA